ATCTGTGCTATTTAGAAGGGATATTGCCCAAAAAAGTCGCCTATTAATTATGTACATTTCCCTATTATGGCAGTCGAATTGAATGTTGTGGGGGGGGGGGGTTACTCTTAATAGACCTTCTCGAAGAGCACTTGCCAGTCTGTTTGTGTGGGTGTTAGGTGAGCTGGGGTGGGGTTTGTAGTGTGTACACATTACAGTATTTAGATCCGTGTACGGGCATCTGCAAATGCTCGTGTGTATACATCTTCTACGTGTGTGGGAGAATAGAAAGTGTGTGTGTGTGTGTTACAATCCCGTCCAGCAAAACAACCCCCTACCTCCTCGCGGTGCCGGACGGGCAACGCTGTCGTGGACAGTACTGTGGGGGGGAGGGCCAAATCCGATTGGCCTCTCCCCTCATGGCATCTGTGACCACCACAGTGGCTAAATGGGGGCTCTGGACGGGTGCGAGGGGCCGGTAACCCCTCCACCTTCAATAAATTACCACTAAACCACGACTGAAATATCTAACTAAAAAGCTTGTGCCGGAGGCCCCGGGGGGACAGGTATCTATGACTTCTCATGGACAAAACCTATCTGGCGGAGCCAGGAGATTGAACCTTTACCCTCCGGGCTCCTCCAGAAACGACAAAAAGCCACTATGAATGGCCACGTGGAATGTTCGAACGCTCACTGCGGAGGAGAGGCTGCCACTCCTCTGTCGGGAGCTGGACCGGTACCGCCTGGATCTCTGTGGCATTCAGGAGGCCCGGTGGACCGGCTCTGGCTCCTGCCACCGTGAGGGGTGGACAGTACTCTACTCGGGGCAGGAGACTGCCAAACAACAGGGTGTGGCTCTTCTTCTGCACAAAAGAATGAAGGTGCGTGGGGGCGGGCGGTGAGGTGTGGGAAGCTGTAAGCCCCAGGCTACTTTGGGCTCGCCTTCCCATCAACCGGAGGCGAGGAGTGGTGGTCGTGGCTACTTATGCCCCCACCGAAAACGAACATCCGTGGAGGGATGCAGGCAAGGACGATGAGTCAGATGCCTTCTATGACCTCCTGTACAGGTGCTGGCTAAAGTGGCCTTCTATGACCTCCTGTACAGGTGCTGGCTAAAGTGGTCCCTCAGGATACAGTCATCTTGTTGGATGACTTCAATGCCCGAGTTGGTCATGATGCTGGCACCTGGTCTGGGGTGATTGGAGGGCATGGGCCAGATCAGCTCAACAACAACGGTAGGAGGCTGCTAGATTTTTGTGCAGCCCATGGGCTCGTAATTACCAACACGCTGTTGCGGCATTGGCGCATCCACACAACATCATGGATGCATGCCGGGTCCAAGCAAGAACATCTGCTGGACTACATAGTGACAGACCAGCGGATGTGAGCCCATGTCCTTGACACCAGGACCTACCGTGGAGCTGATCTGCCCTCTGACGTTCGACTAGTCATCTTTAAGATGCGTCTGCCATTGTTTCACTGCGGTGGTGGGTATACACCCAGGACCCCATTCCAACCTAAGGTGGCCTGGTCTCAGCTTGCTGATGAAAGTTGCAAATGATAATTTAATAATGGCTTGCAGCTGGGGTTGGCATCGTCCCCCACTCCTCCTGATGTCGAGGGTAAATGGGCGAGGTTTAGGACTGTGACTCATGCAGCTGCAATGGCTGTTTTGGGTACCCGGTCTAGATTTCCCCAGAGACCCTGGCTGACAGAAGAGGTGTTCAGGATGGTTAAGAAAAAGCGACAGGCACATTCTAATCATCTACAGCATTCCACGTCAGAGAATGAGGAGGCTTACCACAGCCTTCGCTCGGAGGTTCGGAGAGCCATGAGGCGCTGCAAGGATGGGTGGTGGTCGCGGTTTGCTGAGGAGATGGAGTCTGCCTCAGTGGCCCGCGATCACAAATCTCTATTTAACTCCATCAAAAAGTAACCTGCATCGCCACACCTATTACCATCATTAGGGGGAACAACGGTGATCCAATCTCCGACCCCCAGGAACAGGTTTGGAGATTTGCTGAGCAATTCTGTGAGGTCCTGGGGGAGGGGAAATCCCTCAGCCAGGAAAAAATCGTGGCACAAAGTGGGGATGACCCTGCTGAGGCTTCGGTGCTTCAAATATTGGAAGAAGAATGTACCCCCTTTGAGTGGCTGGCTGAGGTGCCATCTGTTGAGGAAGTACTGAAGGCGATCCAGAGTCTGAGACCAGGAAAGGCACCGGGCAGAGATGATCTCCCAAGCAAAATGCTGAGGGAGGGTGGCGTTTGTGGACAGACTGCCCTACATGACATCATAACAACATTCTGGACCACTGGAAGGGTTCCGCAGGATTGGAAGGGTGCCCTGATGGTCCAGCGGATGTGACCACACAGACTGTAACAACTACAGGGGCTTCTCCCTCCTCAGTGTGCCGGGAAATGTCCTGGCAAGGATTATTCAACATCGCCTTGCTAGGCACGCTGAGGAGAGGCTTGCAGAGCCCCAATGCGGTTTCAGGAAAGCGCGGTCCTGCACAGATGCCATATTTTCTGTCCGTCTGATACAGCAAAGGTGTAGGGAATTCCAACAAGACCTACATCTCTGCTTTATTGACCTGGTCAAGGCCTATGAAACCATCAGTAGGCCTGGACTCTGGGTTGTTCTTCGTGCTTTCAGAGTCCCTGACCCTCTGCTCACGATCATTAAAGACCTTCATGATGGTGAGTGGGCCCGGGTAATACTACGTGGCCGGGAGTCAGAGGCATTCCCTGTACACCTTGGGGTGCGACAGGGATGTCCTCTGGCTCCCACACCTATTTTGACCACGTAGTTCGTGAAGCCTTCAATAGCTGTACCGGGGGAATTTCCATTTGGCACATATTTAATGGGAGGCTGATCGATGCCCGGGTGCGTTCAAGGGATGGCTCCCTATTGGTCAGCCACGTTATGTATGCCGATTATTTGGTAATTGCTGCTCATTCAGAGGAGGAGGTGGAGACGTTGCTGCTGAAACTGGAACGTGCCACTAAGAGGTGGGGCCTTAACATCAGCCCCACCAAAACTAAGCAACTGCCTGGGAATTTTGTACCATCGGACACTCCACCCCCACAACTCCCAATCAGTGATGGGGCAGTTGTGGAGAGAGTGGAGAGTTTTCCATACCTGGGCAGTGTGCTCATGACCGGCTCCGGTTTAATAACAGAGGTCCGACTCCGAAACAGTCGAGCGGCAATATATTTTCATCGGTTGCGTAACGCTGTGTGGAAACTACCTGGTCTGTCGCTCCGCACGTAGCTTCAGGTCTTCTCGACCATGGTCATTTCCTCCCTTCTCTACGCTTGCAAAACGTGGACCCCCCTAATGGAGCATCTTCGCCGGTTAGAAACATTTATGCTGGCCTGCCTACAATCCATCCTGGGTTTAACCAGACTGGATTGTGTGAGGAGCTCACAAATCCTTGAAAGATCTGGGCAAAGTCCCATCGGTGAGCTCCTCTGGCAGGCAAGGCTGCGTTGGCTGGGTCATGTAGCCCGCATGACCAGCCACCACATGGCTAAACAGCTTTTGTTCGTACTCTTTGGTTCTATTGGGTAAAGTCACGTAGGTGAAAATAAAATACCAAAAAATCACGACGTTTCATCTATGTGACTTTACCCAATAGAACCAAAGAGTATGGATCCTAGCAGTCACGAAAGCTTTAAATCTAGCTTTTGTTCGGCCGGATTGAGGGGGCTAAACGGGCGCGGCACGGGCTAGAGAAGAAATGGAGTGATGTGGTACTGGAGGACGTGGAGCTGAATGAACTTGCCGATGACTGGTACTAGCGGTGTCAAGATTGGCCTCTGTGGAGGAGGCTCGTGAAGGACGCTACTGGGCAGTTGAAGGCAGTCGCCCTCCAACAACAAAGGAGGGCAGAGGAGCGACGCTCACAACAATGAGCGGAGCGACGGGTGCCTAAAGCACAGCAAGTTGGCACAGTAGGGGGCACAGTTGGTGCATCAGCTGGCCATCTCGGTCATCTCAGTCAGTCGACCCGTGGCACCTGGGTCTGCCCCGTGACCTCCTGCCAGCGGGCGTTCGACACTTCACGTGGCCTCAAGGTGCACATGGTCTGGCACAAACGTCGTGGTGACGTCACCGCCACTTAAAGGCGAATGGCGGTTGTTGTTGTTACAATCCTAGCTACTAGTGTTCAATTCCAAGCAATTCATTCCCAACCCCAGTGGAAATTTCCCATCTTAACCCGGCACCCCCAGTATCTCGTAGATCTACTCAGAATAAATTGAGTACCTGAGGTTGTGACCCAACACCAGGACCGGGAAGTCACGCGACTGAGCGTGGTTCTGGAGACGTCACCTTCCGTGTGCCATTCTGATCTCATCTCTGCACTTCCTCCACAGCCTGTGTGGAATAGGTGTGTGTGTCTCGCTAAACCTACGCGGCATGGGCTAGAAAAGAGATGGACTGATGTGGTACGGAAAGATGTGGAGCTAAATGGACTTGATGATGACTGGTACCAGCTGTGTCCAAATCGGCCTCTGTGGATGAAGTTCGTGAAGGACGCTGCTGGAGATTTGGAGGCAGTCGCCCTCCAGCAACAACGGAGGACAGAGGAGCGACGCTCACAACAACGATGAGAGCGCGGGACGGTTAAAACGCAGAAAATTGGCGGAGTGGGAAGCACATTGGTGCATCTGGCATTCATCTCAGTCAGTCAACCCGGCACCTGGGTCTGTTCTGTGACATCCTGCCAGCGGGCTTTCGACACTTCGCGTGTGTATGCACACGTATGTTGAACGTCTTTCACACATAGCCAACCATGATAATCGGAGGAGCGGGGGAATGACAACAAACTTAACAGAAAAAGTGCACCTAGCATGGCACAATCACCGTGGTGGTGACGTCGCCGCCAATTAGTGGCAAACGGCGGTTGTTGTGTGTTTCGTGTGCGTGTATATATTTGCGTATGAGTGTTCGCGCAAGTATAGTCAGGCAGGAATGCAGCGTAGTGGAATGAGGGGGCATCGTTGTCCTTGGTTGTGTGGGTGTTAGGCGCATTGATGAGCATCGTTGAGGGTTTGTTGAGGCAGGTAGCAGAGGTGGATCGATCCATTTTCATCGATTAATATCGATGCTCAAGGCTTAAGGTGCATCGAATCGCACGTGTAATAATGGACGTTTTCATCTTCATGCAAAGTACCGTAGTGCGGATTACATACTGTCACATGACTGGTAAAAAGGAGAGGGCGGCACGAGGCTGACAACACAAACGAGGCAGTAGAAACGAGACGGAACTCACGAATGCAAACGAGACTGTGCAAACGAGATAGCAAAATGCAAAGAGATGGAGAGAGAGAGAAAGCGCGACATGGAAACAAAAGCAGTGCAAACAACACAACGAGAGCTGCCGTGTAGGCGAGATAGCTGGCTGGTGCGAACGAGATGACTCGAGTATAACAGTACTGCACATACGATACAGTCCAAGCGAATCGCCCTCTACACCCAGAGCAAATTCACACACACTCGATTATAACATCGACTCTTTCCATCGAATCACGGCAACTCGACGACATCGCCGTGGGGGGTGGGGGGGGAGGGGATCGTCCCACCCCTTGCAGCAGGGAGGGAAGATCGAGTCGGTAGGTTAGGGATGGGTGGAGTGAAACGAGCGCCGATGGTTGGCTTAGCCGAGCGCGCAAGTAGCAGCAGCAGCAAGCGCAGCCACCCCCGCGGTATAAATTCCGCCGCCGCCACCGCTCAGCACCCCCACGCTGTGGACAGCGCCCTGCGGTCGCCTCCCCGATCGTGACCGAGAGGCAAGCGCCTTGGCAGTGGCTTCACAGCCACACGATGTCGATTTGACGGCGATGCGTGGAGAGGGGGGGGGGTGGGACGTTTCGTTCGAGAATAGTTCATGAAAGCGAGCGGGGATTACACGGGCATTGAGTTGACGCGAAATACAGACTCCGAGTGGATGATTGAATAGTGCCCCGGAAAGAAGGTGTTTAGTTTGAACCTACTTGCTGCCGTTGCACGGCGTTTAAACAAAATCGCGGTCGTTTTGCCCAATTGGCAAGTGTCGCAGGCAGCGGAACATTCCGGCGTGGTTTGTTTGCTGCGGGAACATAGAGTTGTCGGAATGAAGGGTCCTTAACACTGACGGCAGGTCGCGTTACCATCTGACACAAACAAACAAAAACCCCTATTATTGGCACCGTGTCCCGCACAACCGGGAATGCCGCACCACGAGTGCGGCTCGTGTCCGTACGTTCCGCGTGCTGCATTACGCCCGCAATAAGGAGAGCGCCTTCACCTCTGGCATCTCAGTCAATCTGCTTGCGGACTGGAGGGCGAGGAGAGCCGCGCGGACGACACGATGATGGGCGACGCCAACGCGACGCCCCACAACCTCACGCAAGACGAGCTGCTGTTGAGAGAGCGCGGGCGCAGGCAGAGCGACTTCTTCGTGCCCATCTGCCTCACCTACAGCCTCATCTTCGCCGTGGGCGTGGGAGGAAACGTCCTCACGTGCACCGTGATCGCCAGCAGGAAGGGCATGAAGACGCCCACCAACTTCTACCTATTCAGCCTCGCCATCTCCGACCTGCTAGTGCTGCTGCTGGGCATGCCGCTGGAGCTCTACGAGATGTGGTCCAACTATCCCTTCCTCTTCGGCCGCCTGGGCTGCTACTTCAGGACGGCGCTCTTCGAGACCGTGTGCTTCGCCTCGGTGCTCAACGTCACGGCGCTCAGCCTGGAGCGCTACGTCGCCGTCGTGCACCCGCTGCGCGCCCGCTCCTCCAGCACACGGCGGCGCGCCGTGCGCGTCATCGCGGCGCTGTGGCTCCTGTCCGGGCTCCTCTCGCTGCCCAACACCCTGACGCACGACCTCAACTTCCTGGTGCTGCCCGACGGCTCGCCGCTCGACGAGTCGGCTGTGTGCACCGTGGTGCACTTCTGGCCCTATAAGTACATCGTGGCCGTCACCGCGTTCCTCTTCTACGTGCTGCCCATGGCCCTCATTAGCGTCCTCTACTGCCTCATGGGGCTGGAGGTGAGCTCTCCCGCGCCGTTTTCTCGCGCGCGCTTTGGGAGGGGGTACGCTGCGCACACGCCGCGCTGCGCTTGCTGCGATGAATTTCAGAGATGGTAGTACGCCAAGTGGGTTTCGTAAACTTGCCCGTCTTGGTGACCCGTCTGCCTGAGTGTTTGTCCCTCGTACTGCGTGGGGGTTTCTCCCACGGCGCTAAAAAAAAACGGATGGTTGGGTTTAACTAAAGAACCCAATGCAAACCCCTCCTGAAACGTCTTGGGGCTTTCCTGAATAAATAATTGCCATTGATAATGGTTTTCCTTGGCTCAGTAGATTATTAATGACTCCATGCGAGAGTTTTTAGTTCGTTGAAAGCAAGTCCCATCCTCCACGAAATTAATGGCAAGTTTACAGTATAAATAAACGTAACTTTTATCCGTACTTGAATATGTTGATTTCTAAACATTGAAATAGCCCTGTACACAAAAGGATATTCCGAGTCAAAGTGCCCCCATAACGGAGCCGACGTTAGTGGGACGCCCATTTCCGTAGGTGGTCGTGCGTCCCGTGGAAGCACTGGAAATTCCACATTCCTATGGCGATAACTACAGATGCTCGAATAAAAAACATCCGTTACGAGACTCATTGCAGGCTATTTTAACATGGCACTAAAGAGTAGAAGGCATTGACGAAAATGTCATGTGCAAAAATGTACATAGTCATTGATTGTTAATAGTGCGGTGTTTAGAAACAATTGGAACCCGTTTGCTTGTACCAGTTCGCCTCATTCACATATCCTTCAACTTTTGTCTGATGCCAGTATTTATTTTCCTACATTCACCACAACGACGCGAATAAAATTATTTCGTGTGATGCATTAAATTGTTTTGCGTCGAACTGGGACTCACATCTAACATTGACGGCCCTTGCCGACAAATACCTGGCAGTTCAAGCAAGTCCGACTCTGCTGATGAGACACTATGTCTATAATGGTCCAGAGTTTTCCTTGTGTTGAGCCAATGCTGCTGAAATTATGCAATCCCGGGTGAATTGTCTGCTTAATTGTCTGCTTAATTCACAAGCAGAGGCATTCATTGAAAGCTTTTGGATAGGACTCGTGCTAGTAGTAAGGCTTGGGCTGAGCACAGGGCTAGAGCTTAGATTATATTGTGCATTTGGGATATACATTTTTACTTGTTCTGTAACATGTGCATACTTCCAGCGTGGTACTTTCTAAACTGGAAATCGCGCGTTTGTATCACACTTCTTTTTGACACTGTGTATAAGCTGCGAACCATATGCAGAAGTGAAACACCCGTGCTCAGGGACAAATGTTGGTTCTTTTAACCACATTCATAGACAGACAGATATACATCTACCCAATCAGAAGCACCAGAGAGCACTCACTCACATGCTCTCATTAATAGTCCCTTACATCGTATTATTTAGGCGTGTTCCGATTGTGGCAGTGTTTCTCACCTCCAGTCTTCGTGACTCCGTCTAGACCAGTGTTTTTTTTACCTTTACTGCTGCCTGCTCCCCTTGGGCTCTCAGAAAGGGCATCTCGCACCCCCAGGGGGTGCGTGCATCCCAGGGTAAGAGCCACTGATCTAGCCCATGCTGTTGTGATTTCATCCCCACCAATTAGCAGCATGAGTCAGGAGGACCACTCTCACCCCAATACATATTTACATTGGCAACCAACCTGTTTGCTAATGACAAAGACTGGCTGTATATATGCTCTTCCATTATGTAATGGTTAAATATATTAACAATAAATGTACAAGCAATTTACTTTAACAAAGACGAGACAAAGTTCCCCGTATAGTCTTCACCGACTTTTGGGGCAAGTGCTGTGAGCGAGTAGCACCCATGAAGACCGGCAAAGCACACGAAGGGGTGGGTGACCAGCACCACGCCCGACCGCCTTTGTCTCACCCAGTGGAGATGTTTACACACCACACCAGGTACTCATTTGAGGCTGAATCGACCTATGGGAGGCCAAGGGCCGGTTCAGATAATTGCCACTGGTTTTGACCGCGAGTGGGAGTTGAACCCGGGTCACCAGATTCCTAGCACAGTGAGTAATTGCTCCGCCACCGCTACCCACAACACGTTAACCCACACCTCATCACACAGAGTGAGAACATAAGAGATAGCCTACACATTGCTCTTGTGAATGTGTTCATCTGCATTACATTAACTGTAAATAAATGTTCAAAACAGCTGAAGGTGCACTTTGTTTTTTTGCATCATTTCTCCGAAAAAAGAACATAATAAATTGCTCTTAAATAACACGGTGCGAATAACTCAGCTAATTTATATTGGGAGCAAATGTGGTACTTGGAAAAATTCAGCAGTATGCCTGATGGTCAAAGCCTGTTAATAGCACTGATGAAATACGAATCCGAGTAGATTTAAATCGCAAATGGAGAATTCGGCATGTCCATTGAGACTGCAATCGGTTTTCAAGGGAAACACGGGTTACAGAGACAAGTAAAAAAAGATCTAATGAAGTGTCAATGTCATAAATGAACGCAAAAAAGGGGGGAAATCAAACAAACCAAGTGAACGTGTTAGACGGACTACACACGTCGCTGAACCCCGTTCAGGAACGTGGGGGTGAGTTTAAGCAGGGAGGTTCGTGAAGGACGCTGCTAGGGAGTAGGAAGCAGTCGCCCTCAAACAACGAGCAGAGCTCCGGGCGGCGAAATAGCAATGGGTTGTCACCGTGGCGAGCACAGTTGGTACATCTGTCAGCCATCTCAGTCAGTCAACCCATGGCACCCCGAGTCTGTTCCGTGACCTACCGCCAAGCGGGCCTTTAACACTTCACGTGGCCTCAAAGTGCACCTGGCATGGCACAAGCGCTGTGGCGACATCACCACCACTTAGTGGTGAACGCAGATCGTTGCTGTTGGGTGAGTTTAAGCGACGTGGACAATAACCGTGGAGGAAATTCCCCTTTTGTGCAAAGCTTTTGGCGGAAGAAGAGGGCGGTGCCATTTGAAGTTGCCGACGATCCCTGTGGCGTTGCCATACCTGTGGGTGAATTGAGAAAATATGCCACAGCGCTTTGTGACCAAAGTGAACATCTCACCCCCCCCCCGCGGCGCTTTGGGACCAAACTGAACATCTCACCCCCCCCCCCCCCCCCCCGCGGCGGCGTGGAGCGACATGCCCGAGCTGAGTCGAGCTCGCGCCAGTCACGCTCGAGGGGAATGTTGTGCGCTCAAGCCGCTGATGTTCATTTGGAGAGCCAACTTGACCAAAAGTGCAACGTCTAACCCCTCCGCCCGAATTGGCATTGTGCTATCAAGCAATAGTGATCCGTGTAAAATGAGATAAATGCGCATGAATCATTGCTTGGTAAATCACTCGTGATCATGGGGTGTGATTCATGTGTCGTTCCCTTCATGTAAGATTTGGTGAAAAAGGACCGCTTGCACCTGCACGGTATAGCATTCTCATTGTTGCCTTTCATCACATGAAAGCCACCGTCATTTCATTATTATACATGGTACGTGGTTGAAGTCGCGAATGGCGTTGAAGCTAACAATGAAATTCTCAATACGAATGCAGTTGCACTTAATTCCTGGTATGCGAGCATCATGGCGTGCCTCAGGGAGCAGTGAGAGCTGGACAACGGTGGCTGATTCATTCATTCATTATTAATGAGCTCATTGTGTGCTGCAAAATTATTTGCTTCACGAATGCAAAGCTCCAGAGTGATGTTTCCTTGGGGGCTCCACGGTGGCGAGATGTTAACTACCTCGCCTGGGGTGCAGGAGGTCGTGGGATCGATCCTGACTCTTGTTTCGTATTTGGAGTTTGCATGTTCTCCCCGTGGTCGCGTTGATGTTTCTCCAGGTTCTCCAATTTGTTTCCCCTCCACATTTAGCCACATGCGTTTAGAGTACAGTATTTGGGTGCAATACATTTCCACATGATGAGCCACTTCGTTGATCTATCATTTGTCGCCAAGTCGCTTCTGAAAAATAACTGTATAGCTCAGTAGGCGTTACCTGGTAAAATAAAATAAAAATTAGTTTAGTTTAGACTGCCGGTGTCAGTCTTGAGGCTGCATCTGTTAGCATGGTGTACATTCTGGGGAAGTATTTAACTTTGCTTTCCCTGGAGCAAGGCTGCGTGCTGCTGCTGTATCAGAGCCAGCAGGTATAGCAGCGATAGCGTTGGGTCCTCACCCACTGTGCGATGTGTAGCGGTGGCCTGGGTGACCAACTGGCACGTCCACTCTCAGCCTGGTGACAAGGCCATGCCGATGTTTACCCACGCACTCACGCGATGTTGCATATGGAATGCACTGCGAATTGGCAATATGATTCTTTGCCAAACCGAACAGTTTCAGTGGGCCTTACCTGGTAAAAAAAGTTGATTTTTGCATTTCTTGCTCAAATCGTCCAGTGATATATATATAGTTTTGTATTGTGATCATAGGTCATAAAACCTGTTTTAGGGAGCCAAGGGTAGCCTGGTTAACAGAAATCCGTGTTTCAGGCCAACCGGTGATTTCTGTGCAGTTTTGTGACACCGCACACAGAGGGTACGAGTCACGTGTCTGCAGATGTGCGTGTAAGCCCGTGGAGGTGTGCTGTGTTTGGTCATTTTCTCACAACATCCCCAAGACGGAGGAACTCCACCAGGCTTCAGTATCCTTCCACCGATGCGTGAATTGAACCCAACATGTGTTGGTGTAGAAAACTGCAGGAGGCCACCTGGTCACATAGGATAGCGGCGGTATAAGCGGGTGCCGCTCGTGAGATGCCAAAGTGCTGAGTGAGTCTAGTCAATGAGCTCTGAAGACGTGTAAAGACAGGTTGGCATTGCACATTTCGTGTGTACACGTCACATTGCTCAAACAGCTCTCGAGCGCGTTGATTTGAGTGGTCCACGGAAATTCCATGGTGCACGATTGTTTATCCTAAATTGGCAGGCTTCTATTTCACATCCACATTGCCGACGTACAAAGTTGTGCTTCTGTACATGTACACGCTTATATA